ATATATATATATATATATATATATATATATATATATATATATATATTTTAGGATATATCTATTCTGTTAGATATATATATTTTTACCGTTACATTTTTTTGTTGTTGACTGATTCAATTTAGTAGATATACTTCTTGAATCGCATCGTCATATTTGTTTGAAAAAGATATATCTTACTGGTGTCTAATAAATATATCGATTCCGATTTTTAAGAAGATTGTAAGTTTGTAACAATAAGATATATCTTATCTTTTGCTTCCAGTAAAATCAAATGGGTTTGCAGTAACGGATTCAAATGTGCGAAGATTAATAAGCTTCAACAATAAAATTGGTTTTATATTGTTCCTATTATTATATTATTGAGTAGCATATCCACGTTGTATTTTAAATATACGCTGCATATATTATTTGAATGGGACACGTTACAGTGTTATATGCCTTCTTCATAAAGGTCCAGCCATAATTTCATGAATAGTTTAAGTCTTCAATTTATTATTACTGCAAGTTTCCCTAGTGGCTAGTTGGTTTATTGTTGTGTTTGATAAACTCAAGAGTACTTGATTCGAAATTTGTGTAAAGGCTTTTCTCAACCTGGATTTCAAGCCACGTGAATCGTGTAGATCATTAGTTTTTTTTTTCTGTTGTTTTTCGAGCTGTTTCGTACAAACCGTTTACAATATATCAGTTCCGCTTTGTTAAGAATATATTGTTCCGATTTATTTTGTTTTTTATTTATTTATTTTCACGATTACAAGTGTATTTGTTATCGTGGGCACGATTTACAAATTTACCAGTTCCGTATTTTATTAAAAATATTTGTTATCGTGGGCAGATTTACTGTTTATTTGTTATCCAACAGAAATATTACTCAAAGAATATCAGTTCCGGTTTTTTAGTCAGTTCTGATTTATATAATAATTATTATTCAAATCGTTTCAGTTATATATCTCATAGATATATCTATTATTGTACCATGCGCTAATGGATGACAATTTTATTTTTTATCTTTTTGGTCAAACATGTTCTATTATTGACAATTTTTTTTTAGTCAAACATGTTCTATTATTTTACAGCATTTTGTATTACGTGTATATATAATGGTTATATCCCACCATAACCATAGAGCAATGTTGGATACACTTGTAATGATTATAATTATTGACGTCCAGTATATATACACTGCTCTTGTTCTATTCATGTTCGCTATAAATGTTTGATTAAAAAATATATATTTCCTGTACTTACAACATGTATAAAGTCTAACAGAATGGGGCTTACAACCTCATGACCCACTATTTAGATATATATATATTTTTACAGTTTTTATTTATTTATTCAAAATCTGTAAAATATTATTTGGATACACAATTTTAATAATTGTAGTTGACAATGAGTGGAATTCTTCTTGATTGACAAATGCTATAATTTTTAGAAACACATGTTGAAGAAGTGTTTCATATTGTTTGAGCATGTTTGGTTCAGGAGTTATTATTACGGTTGAAAATCCTAGATTCCTAGTTGAAAATTTCAATATTGTTATTGAAAGATATTTAAAAATCATGGTTGCAGTTTCCATCTTTTACTGTTTAAATTTTGTTGTTGTTTAGATTCTTTATATTACATAGGCCTCCAATATTGTTACGATTTTGATATATCTAAAAAGATATTTTTGTGCTGGCCTTCAGTATTGTTACGATATTTTTTATTTTTTATGGGAAAAGATTTTTTTTTGAGTTCATCTACCACCAATCTAATTAATTTGAGATAAAGATGTAATTGATGTTGATGTTATGAGTGTAAGTTATGGGTATACTATATCATCATACTTTATATTTAGAATCAAACCTTAATTTTGGGGGCTAAGTTCATCTTCTTTGTGGCCTTGATTTGTGCACAGATCTATAAGAATGTATGTTTCCTATGTGCAGTAATGTCAAAAATTGGCTTAGAATTTGAATACATTGTAACGATAGGAAAATGATAGAGTTTTAATCTATTCCTATCCAATATTTCTAATATTATAATATTACGCGATACATTCAATGTTAATATACATGTGGTATTATTACTTAAGTTGCTCTCGGTGCACAATTTTAAAGTTGTGTTTGATATTGAATGAGAATTTTTTTTGGATTATTTTAGAAACACATTGGAAAAGTGTTTCATGTTGTTTGAGCATGTTTGGTTCATAAGATATTATTGTTGTTTAATAATTATTATATGTTAATTATCTGCCCAAAGGGGATTTTTAATATATAATAATAAATTACATGAAGATAAATATTATTGATGGGAATATCTAATTGAAAATTATTTATCTGTCCAAAGGGGATAAATTTTTTGAAAATTAAATATGATGCATTTATGTTGGAATTAAGGAGATATATAATTTATAAAATTTATCTGCCCAAAGGGGATAAATTTTAGACAATTGTATATAATTTTCTCCGTTGTTAAATCTTCATGTGATGAAAAATAATTATATATTATATACTCTGCCCAAAGGGGAGTCTATGATATTTAATTATTTTTGTTATTGCTCATGATTAATTTATTACATTATGTGTATAACTTTTGGTGATAAAGATTAACTTGTGTTAAATTCTATCAATTATGAATTTTATTTTATTTTTGGGTATATTTTGGTGCAAAATGTATTGAGAAATTAGCTCTCATTTGATATTGTTGTATAATTTTGTACTCTCAACCTGTGTTGCATGTTGTAATATTTTGTTTATTGGATTGTATGCTTTCGCTTGAATTGTTTACATACAAAAAAATTATTGAGGAGTGCTTCTAGTTATTTCATGCAATTTCCTGCCCAAAGGGGGTTATTGTGTGTTTTAATTGGAAGCTTAACTGTAATAAAATTATTGGAGGTGCATTGGTCTAGGTGATCTATCTGCCCAAAGGGGACAGATCTCTGAAGCCCGTGTATGCTCATTAATTGATTCATCTACATGAAAGTAAGTGGGAGTAAATATATTTTCTTAGTACTTTATGTAAATGACATTTTATTTGCTAGTAAGATGTTGATTTATTGAATAAAACAATAGCCTTTTATCTAAAAGCTTTGAAAAGAAAGACCTTAGAGTAGCTTCTTTTGTATATAGAACACGAGTTCTTTAGAATCTTTTGATTCCCTTAATTAGTGGGAGTAATACTCAATGCTTGCTTTTGAATATTTTAGATTTTTTTGATTCCTTTGGTTAGTGGGAGTCATATTCAGTTTGTTTCTTTTCTATGCAAACTGATAATTATTTTGTGATATTTGTTTGAATTTACGTAATTGATGATGATCATCATTATTATTATTTCTCCTGTCGACTAAGAAATATATGTATGGAATAATATCTTTAAGCATGATGTGAGCTTAAAGGTGATTGGATGTCACAAATTTTGAGATCTCATGTTGTACTATGACATACTGGCTTATTTAAGCAAAGCAATTTCATGTTGTTTAGAAATTGCGGTGATGCGATTTCATATTGTTGAGAAATCGTATCAAGAAGTGCAATTTCATGTTGTTTAGAAATTGTGGTAATGCAATTTCATGTTGTTGAGAAGTTGCATTACAGAGTGTAATTTCATGTTGCTTGGAAATTGCACTAATGTAATTTCATGTTGTTGAGAAATTACATTGAGGACCGATAAGAATTAGTGTGTCACATTGTTGATCACATTTTGGCACTAATTCTTACTACACTACTAGGCCTTGATTCATGAAGATATAATACTTATTGTATGTGAGTATGGAAGGTCATATGCTATGATATTTTCGGTATATTGATCGCCATATTCCTATGAGGAGATTATCTTGGATTGAATTGTGTTGAGATGCTGAAATTGGAATATTGTTTTTCAAAATTGTGGCCACGTAAAATTATTTTTTAGTTATTTACCCGATAGAGTCGTTTTCGAAATAAAATGATTTTCAAAATAATATTAAATTAATTAATATAGCCCAAGTGGGAGAATGTTAGAATTTTATTTTATGGGCAATATTAATTAATTAGTTTTGTATTTAAAATTAATCGGGTTAATGGATATTTCAATATTATTATTGTAACTAGCTCATTGTGATCACATTGAATTGAGCTTCTGGCATCTGTTGTTATTGGGCCTAGTTGGGCAGCAGTGTAGGCTTTAGTGTGACCCTGGTTTTCCATGATGGGTGGACCCAGTGGACACAGACTCTTTTGTTATTAGCTAGGTCCCCTCTCTAGCCTATAAATATTGGAGTTAAGCTCCATAAGCCATCATGCTCCCATCGCTGAGGCTGCCTTTATCGAAATAGGTAATAGAGAGGAAGATCTGGCATGTAGTCCCTTTTCTCTTTCGACTTTGTGATGATCCAACAAGGTACACACAATCCCAACTTTGATTTCATATTGTTTAAGTATTTTATAATCATATACATGATTCAGGGTTAAAATATTTCTATCAAACCATACCCGATGCTGTGTCAGCTGTCAACCACAAAGAGTACAGCATGACCTTCATGCCCATCTCACCCCGTTGGAGAGCTTTAAGGAAAATATGCAATGGTCAATTATTCGCCAACAAGACTCTTGATGCCAGCATAGACCTCAGGCGAAAGAAAGTGCAAGAACTCCTCGCTGATATCCATCAAAACAGCCTAAAATGTGAAGCTGTTGAAATTGGAAGCGTGGCTTTCAAGACTGCTATAAACTTGTTATCAAATACTATATTCTCTCTGGATTTGTTTCACTCTACAGGTTCAGCTGGAGAGTTCAAGGAGTTGGTGACAAAAATCATGAAAGAGGTTGGAACGCCAAACTTGGCTGATTATTTTCCTATTCTGAAGATGGTAGACCCACAGGGTGTTAGAAGACGCACTGGTAGTTACGTTATTAAGATTATTGACATCTTTCGGTGCTTGATCAATCAACGATTGAATTTAAGGGAAGGCAAATCCAACACCATGAATTACATGTTAGACACTCTGCTCAACATTTCTCAAGAGAACAGCCACGAAATGGACAATTTACAAATTGAACATTTATTTCTGGTAATATCTTCTATCCTTAATTTAATTTCATGATCACTTCCTCTTCTTTGCAATTTTTTTACTATATATATTCTATAATTCGGTAATATTATGTTATGGAATATTAGACTTTGTTTGTTGCTGGAACGGATACAATTACAACTACATTAGAATGGGCAATGGCGGAGGTAATTCGCAACTCAGAGGTTATGTTGAAAGCAAAACAAGAGCTTGAGGAAACCATTGGCATAGGTAACCCGGTGGATGAAACTGACATTGCAAAACTCCCTTACTTAAAAGCAATAATAAAAGAGACTTTTCGATTGCATCCTCCGGTTCCATTTTTAATCCCTCGAAAAGCCAAGACAAATATAGAAATATGTGGCTATACTGTCCCAAAGGATGCACAAGTTCTAGTTAATGTGTGGGCGATTGGCAGAGATTCAAGTGCCTGGGATAATCCAAATCTGTTTTTACCAGAGAGGTTCTTGGGATCAGAAATTGATGTTAAAGGCCATGATTTTGAGCTTGCACCATTTGGTGCTGGGCGACGCATATGTCCTGGCTTGCCACTGGCTATGAGGACATTGCTCTTGATGTTGGGTTCACTTGTCAACTCTTTTAATTGGAAACTTGAAGATCATATGAAATTGGAGGATATAAACATGGATGACAAATTCGGAATTACGATTGAAAAAGCACAGCCCTTGCGAGTTGTTCCGGTCAAAGTAAACAACTGAATATATGTTCGCAGGGGAATGTTTTTTTTTTTTTTTTTTTTTACAAATTACATTATGATCTGTCGTACACTCTTGATTGAAGTAATGACCAATTATATTTAGTGTAGTTTGGAAATAAAAAGTTTGTAAATATAACTTTTTACATGTTTGCTTGCAATGTAACTTGTGTTATGCTATATATTTCAAGAGAAGAGTTATATATATAATTTTTTAATTTTGAAGAATACGTATTCAAGTATTTGTATTTCCTAAAATATATAATTTGGTTTGTAAGAGCTTTAAATAAAAAATTTATAAATATAATATTTTTTATATTTTAATAATTAAACGCATCACATGATGAAGATAATTATATTTACAATTTTTTTTGTTTATACATTCACTTATATATTTCAGAAAATACATATTTAAAAGTTCATATATTCAATAAATTTATAAGAGTTTATAAATAAAAAATTTATAAATATAACATTGCTCGCAATTCTTGGAAAGTTGTTCCCCATTCTTCTCGGACATTAAAGTTTCTCAATTACTTCGACTTTACTATTCAGATGTTATTGTTGCCACTATATGTCATGTTTATTACATTGACTCCCCGTTTGGCTCCCTTGCCGCTATTAATTCAATCAACGCAAAGTGCTATAAATAACATTTGTTGGAATGGAATAACATTAGTAGTAATATAAATGACAATTCCTGAGTTTTCTGCCTAATTTTTTTCCAAGGCTTGGTCACATGGAGTATGTTGGGGCATGTATAGATGCACATACAGAGTTTCGTGACTCTCTTAGATGCAAATAACATAATTATGCATGTTTGACAAGCAACTACAGAACTCAAATTAAAATGCAAACAGATGATCATGATTCATGGGCGACTTTGTAGTTTTGCGTTTTTTAATGGGAAACTTGGGTAGCATTATCATTAAGGAGTTTTGCTTAAGTTATTGAATAATGCTAAGCCCTATTACATATTTATAAAATTTTTACGGGGAATGATACATTTACAAATTATACTAAGTATGACCAGTCATATACTCTTGATTGAAATATGACCTGTCATACTTAATGTAGTTTGTAAACAAAAAGTTTGTAAATATAATTTTTTTCTTATTTCTATCATTTTAATTATAATTTGTTTGACACTATTTTTTAGACATTTATATTCTAATTTCACGCAAATATAAAGTGAGCTAATGCAACTCCTAAAAATATATATAAAATATGAAAAATGTTATATTTACAAATTTTTTGTTTATAAACTCTTACAAACTATACTAAGTATGACCGGTCATACTTCAATCAAAAGTGTATGATCGGCTATACTTAGTGTAATTTGTAAAAAAAAATTTATAAACGAATCATTCCCCATAAAATATTATCCATTGCTGAAAAGTCTAGTTCAAGTGATTTTATCCATTTTTATGGTAAAAGTTTTTTATATTAGTTATTATCATAGTTAAACTTATTCAATAATGTAATAATATCATATTAAATATCTCAGGAAAAAAACATACGTTGATAATTGTCTAAAATTATTGATTTTGATATTTCAGGTCAGTTCATTCATATTTAGTCTATGTTTTCAATACCACATGCACGTTGCATGAATTGGTTGCCGATTCTGAAAAAATGAGGGGCTATTGAGTTTTCTGTCTCTATTGTGTAAATGAAATATAGTCTACGTTTTCAATAATACCACATGCACGTTGAATTGGTTGCCGATTCTGAAAAAATTAGGGGCTATTGAGTTAATTTTCTGCTTTGACTACATGCAGGAGGTTTCGCAACCATAATACTAATAGCCAATAGGTGCCTATTAAGTTTGAAATTTCTGGAGCCTGTGTTTGATAGACTGTCTTGAATAGCTGAATTAATCTTCGCCTCCGTGCACTTTAAGTTTAAAGTATAAGCGATATATGCATATACTTTTTTTTGGAATCTTTAAAAAAATTATAATCAAAACATATAAAAGAGAAGTGTTGCTTGAAAAAATTAATGTGAAATAAATCAACATAAATGTACATGCTTATATTTTAAAGTATAATAAAAAAATCGTATTAAATTTTAATAATTACATGACTTAACCATATATATTTCGTTTATAATAATATTTAGATAAAATTTTAACTTTGTATATGTATAAGTCATTATGCTCAATTTGTCATGTAAAGCAAAAATTTTAGAATATTTAAAATGTTTATAATTATTGGGAAATAATATTGTAACAACCAATTAGTATATATTACTACCAATCAATTTCACCGTTAGATCGATTATGTTGATCCAATAATTATATTTATTTCTACCTTTGTATGATTATGATTTTCCATATTTAATGCTTTCACATTAAATATGATATTAAATATCATTCTCCATAACCTGTATTATCAGTATTCCCATACAGAAAGTCATTAGAGTTAGCCTAATGATAAGGGATAATTATATAATAGGTTGTGTGTTCAATTTTTTAATATATCCAAATAAATAAATAAATATATATATATATATATGGGAATGATCCGTTTACAAATTTTTTTAATTTTATTTTACAAATTACACTATGTTCTCCCGGGAGAACATAGTGTAGTTTGTAAACAAAAAAATTTGTAAATATAATCTGCGAAGAGAACATAGTGTAATTTATAAGAATTTGTAAACAAAAAAATTTGTAAATATAATCTGCCCCGTATATATATATTCCTCTACAGAATTTTTCCTCTACAGAATTTCCTAAAATTCGGAGTTCTACATCACATTTTCATAGGACCTTTTTTTTTTTTTTTTTTGTATAGCAAAACCCATGTGTACGATTTCCATGACCCTCTCTCCACTTTTCATGTGCGTTATTCTAATTGTCTCATGTGTCTTCTCCAAGTCCAACCACGGAGTTCTACATCACATTTTCACAGGACCCTTTCTTTTCTTTCTTTTTTTATAGCAAAACCCATGTGTACGATTTCCATGACTCTCTCTCCACTTTTCATGTGTGTTGTGTTATTCTAATTGTCTCATACGTCTTCTCCAAGTTCAACCACGGAGTTCTACAAGAACAGTGGTCAAAGTGCTATTGCTGAAAAAAAAATTCTAAAATGTCACGTTAATAGTAAATTTTATCAAAATATCACGTGACATATTTCTCTACATTATGTAGCAAAATATATGTGCAAATAATTCGCTACACGGTATAACGAAATATGTCGCGTCAGAATGCACAGAACCAAAAATATCACGTGTCAAACAGGGAGAATTTCGCTACACTGTGTAGCGAAATTCTCCCTGTTTGACATGCGGTATTTTTGGTTCTGACGTGGCATATTTCGCTACACCATGTAGCGAAATATTTGCACACATATTTCGCTACACAGTGTAGCGAAATATGCCACGTGACATTTTGGCAAAATTTATCGTTGGCGTGGCATTTTGGTGTTTTTTTTTTCCAACAGTGGCACTTTGGCCACTATCCCGAGTTCTACATCACATTTTCATACGACTCTTTTCTTTTTTTTGATTTTGTATTTGTCATGTTGCATGACAAATATAAAATTTCCGACACATACATCGATATTTGTGCTGTATTTTTTTCTTTTTATTTTAAACATAGAAGACCTCACATTTATTGTATCTATAGCATGACAAGATGATTATCCTACAACATAATTGTTTTTCCTTTTTTTTTATAGCAAAACCCATGTGTACGATTTCCATGACTAGGTGTGCAAAAAATAATTATATTAACCAAACCGAATCGCAAATCAAACCGAATAATATAAAGGAATTTAACTGAACCAAACTATATATTTAAGGGGTTTATATTTGTCATTTAACATGACACAACAAACTTTTCTACACACACAACATTTTGTGAGACCCACACTTTTTGAAGAAAAAAGAAAAAAAAGAAAATTATAGCACGCAAAACGAATTTCTATAACATTACACAATCACTTTTTCTACAACATAACTCTTATAAAACCCTATATTTAAATGATGATCTTTTGAAACATTTCCCTAGGTGGTGTTTGGTTTGGATTTTTTGATGAGATACCCAGACATCATACTATAGCATTTTATATTGACCATGTTTGGTTTAAGGTATTTAAAAATTTTGGCAGCAAGCTGATTTGCCCATCCTTTCACAAGTGTATGAAAAAACACATAGCAATAAAGCCAATCTTGATATGGTATTGTAATATAACCGAGTAAATGGATAAAAGAGAAAGAAGGACATGACTCAAATGCCTTTTTCTAATGCACACGCAAAAGCTACTTGTTTTGAGATTAAAAAATTAATAAGGGGTTATTTTTGTAATTTTATACAATTTTTCATCAATATTTTATCTTCAACCAAATATAGACTCAGAAAACTTTAATTAATTTTTCTGATAATATTTCATCCTACCAAATAATTTTTTGTCAACTTTGCCAACAAATTTACTTTTCCATAATTTTCCCAATAACTATATTTTTTTGATAATTTTTTTTTTCTCCTCTACCAAATATCCCCTTTTAGAGTTTAACCCCTCGTAACAAAGAAAAGAGATGAAAGCAAAAGAGAAACTGAAATCTGTTATTCTGATATCCAATCTTGTTACAAGTTTCCCGCTGTATACAACAGGTTTCCCTCCTTTATTCCCAACTAACTAACTACAGTACACATTTACGTGAATAGTAACCTACAACCTATGCTAGGCGGCAATTACTGATATTCAATATCCACACTGGCTTCCAAATCCTAAGACCTTCTCTGATTAATTTTGGAATTCAAAGGTGCAAAATGAGTAAACTTCCATTCACTGATTAACAAGTTGAATATGGTAAATATCCATGACCCTAACTTGACGGAAAGCGCCGGCAAGAAGAGATCTTTTCTAAAATAACATAATTTTGAAAACAAGGATTGGATCGAATAGGGAGGTTATGTTAGGCATTTACAAACAATTATTTAAATTGGTATCAATTAATATTAACATTAATTACGTATATAGAATACCCAAATTA